CTGTTGTAAATTGTTAAAAAAAAAAAAAAAGTTTTCTTGATAAAAGAAATACTCTATGATTGTTATGGGGGGAACAATGAGGAGGGAATATTATTCACAGACTAGAGGGTAGACACATATTAACATGGGTGATGGGGCAGGCAGGTGGGAGGTTGACATCAGTAAGATGAAGGTAGCAGGAGACAAAGGGAGAAATACAATAGTTAAAGTGAATAGAAGCGAATACTATTAACTTATGATACGTGGAGGGGCTTGCAATCAATGTAATACAGTAAAGTATATGATTTGTTGAAAATATGATCTGCTCTTTAAATCTTCATTCAATTCACAAAAAAGGTTAAAAAAAGAAAAAACCAATTCATTTCAGGTTTCATTTATTATGTCTAAAATATTGTACTGACGGGTTTCTTGAACAATGCATACCATAATAAGTGAAGATATATACTAGGGAGCTTCAAAATTTTTGTGAAAAAAATGGAATAAGAAGATAATGGAATTTGCCCATGAATTTTTGAAGTTCCCTATTATAACAGTAGTTGCTGTTGTTAAGAGTCATTGAGTCAATTCTGACTCAGATTGACTCTGTATAAGTTTTCCTAGGAGTGGCTGGTGGGTTTTAACCACTATCTTGTGGTTAGAAGTTCAGTTTTATCCTACAGTGTCACACCAGGGTTCTCATATAATGGTGAGAAACCAAATACAGTCCTTGATCTCATGGAGGTTACAGAATAGTGGGCATACAGGCAATTATGAAATATTGACATACATAAAGTCAATAAGCACAGGCTTTCATAAGAATACTGATGAGAAATGAAGTCCATTAAGGAAGGCCATTATATGGCTCTGTAGCATAAGCATTGAATTGCTGTCTGCAAGGTTGGTGGTTTAAACCCACCAATCACTCCTTGGAAACTCTATACAGGGTGGCTATGATTTGGAACCGACTTGTCAAAACTGACTCAATGACACTTAACAACAACAACAATAAAAGTCATGAAAGGATGTGTAAAAGGTCTTGGATTGTCTAGGGGATCAAAGAAAGGCTTTCTTAAAGATGTTCATTAAGGTGAGAGGTAAATGGTAACGAAGAATCATCTAGGAAAATGGGGTGCAGGCAGTTGGGGTGATGGCTAGTAGATGAGCAAAAAGGTAATTCTGGGCTGAAGGAAAACCATGAAAGCATGGCTTGTCCAAGAATATGAAATGCCTCTGTGTCTGCTATACAGCAGAATGATAAAAAAATGAACTTGGCAAGCTTGGTGGGAATCTTTCAGGCTGAGAAAGGAGTCTATTTTAATATAAATAGAAAGGCATTGGATATAATCCAGTTGTTGTCATTGTTGTTAAGTGTTGTAAAGAGTTTCCAAGGAGTGACTGGTTGATTTGAAAATTGAACTGTGGTTAGCAGTCCAGAGTGAAATCATCCTGATTGATTCTGGGGAAAAAAAAAAATCTAGATTTTGTGTCCTCTTTCCTATAAAAGCCCCTGTATACAGTAAAGAAAACAAACAACTAAAAATAAAAAATGAAGGAAAGAGAGGGAGGAAAGAAAGGAGGAAAGCCCAAAAGAAAAAGGAGAGAAAGAACAAAAATAAGAACTCTTAAAAATTATAGTAGAAACCATATGTAACCCTGATCCATCATTTAAAATAGAAACATGGGAACTGATTGCAAAGGCTTATCAAAACAGAGGATGATCAAACCTGAGCTATTTCAAGAGGAATGAATGCTGATGACAAATGCACCAATTTACTCCACAGATCTGTCTTAGATGAACTGACCGCCTATTTCAGAAGACTTGTCAGAACAAGATTGCTTGGCTCTACTCCCAGAGTTTCTGATTTACAAGATTAGGGTGGAGTCTGAGAAATGTGTATTTCTAACACCGTCCTGTTTGATGATGACATTACTAGCCTGAGAACAGCACTGTGAGAATAGCTGTCCTGAACTGTCCCCAAAGTGAATCATTTACTCTTCTGTATCATCTTAAACCCACTGTTGATTCTAACTCATAGTGATCCTATGTAGAGATTCTGAGGCTGTCAATCTATATGGGAACAGAAAGCCTCTTCTTTCCCCTGTGGACTGGCTGGTGGATTTGAACTCTTGACCTTATGGTTCCCAGCCCAATGCACATCACACAACGCCACGGGGGCTTCTTACTTCGTATCACTTTGTGACTGTTATCTTCCATTGTTGCACTTATGCCATTATAATTTAACATTTTATTTCTAGTTACTCATTTTTTGGTTCCCCTATTTCCATAGTGCCTAATACTGTAACTAGATTATAAAAGTTATTCAATAATGTTTGCTGATTCAAATTCATATTTAATTAAGTTTATGTCATCCTCACCAATCTTAATGAAGAGCCATGTATCCACTGAAACTACATAGAATAATAATCAATAGAAATCCATTAGAACATAAACAAATGATACTTTTTGTGTGCCAGGCATTGATCAGAGGACTTTATATGTGCTATTGCATTTAATTCTCTTAATAATTCTATGACTAAACAATAATATTATCACTAGAGAAGGACATCATGTTTGGTAAAGTAGAAGGACAGAGAAAATGGGGAAAACCCTCAAAGAGATAGATTTACACAATAGCCACCACAGTGGACTCAACTATATCAAAGATTATGAAGTGTGGTGAGAAAGATGAATTGGATAAGGGTATGGTCCTGGTGTGGTGTTGTAAGATAAGCACTGGACCACTAGGTAGGTTTGAACCTCTGAGTTGGTGGTTCAAACGCACCAACCACTCCTCAGAAACCCTGTACAGGGTTGCTATCTATGAGTTGGAACTGACTCAAAGGCACATAACAACAACAACATGGTGGTAACTTAACCTACTTTGTCACTTTTTTCCATAGAAATTAAAATTATTTACACTATATCTTTATCTTTACTTTGACATCATGGTGTAAGGGTAAAAAGGAATTTGAAAGTCAAGAAATGAGTTTGGCTATGGAAGAATATTTTTAGTGCATACCACATAATTGAAGGTTGCTGTGTAAGTTTGATCTTTAAAGCTTTCCATATTGAGAAGGTAATGCACCATCACCAATTTCTGCTGATTGCATCTCAGTTCTTCCATCTCTGGGACAATCTTTAGGAAACTATTAGTCTTGGAATAAAATCGTTGTACAAAATACTTCGATTGAGGATAATGAGGTAACATCCATCCATCAAACTTGCAGTTTTCATCATTCTTGTAGGTTGCCTAGACAAATAATTAAATGTATAGGTATTTTAGGACAAAGAGAATGGAGGAATGAAAGAATATCTGCTTAGATGGTTTATTGTCATGCTGCTCTTATCTGTACATAAAAATTACAGGGCTCTCATCATTAAGGAAGACCATAGATGAATTGATGCTTTTGACTTATGGTATTGGAGGAGAATATTGAAAGTGCCATGGGCTGCCCATAGAACTAGCAGATCTCTGTTGGAAGAAGTACAGCCAGAGTGCTCCTTGGAGGTCAGGATGGCCAAACTTCATCTCTCATATTTTGAACATATTGTCAGGAGGGACCAGTCGCTGGAGAAGGATATCATGTTTGGTAAGGCGGAGGGTCAGAGAAAAAGAGGAAGATTCCCAGCGAGGTGGATTGGCAAAGGGCATCATCAATGGGCTCAATGAAGCATGGCAACAATAATGAAGTTGGCCCAGGATGGGGCAGTGTTTCTTTTTGTTGTGCATAGGGCTGCTATGAGTCGATATCGACTCAATGGCACCTAACAACAACAACAATATCATTAAGTATAACCTAATTTCCATAATTTCACTTATACTCTGGAGTGATTACTATATAGTTTTATGAAGTTTATTATTTATTTCTATTAAGATCAGGCTTTATAATAGTTTCATAAAATGTATTAAATTACTCTAAAAATATTCTGTTTTGTTCTACAATTTTGTTTTAAATAGGCAACACTTGATGTCACATTAGTCAGAATTAACTCAACAACATTTTTTTTTTTAACAGCAACTTGGGCTTTTTTTGTTTTTGTTTCCTTGAGAAATCTCTCATGATAATATGAGGAACTGCTGTGAATGCAGGGAAGTCCCTAGATAGTACCTTTACTGCTCAACTACTAATCTAAAAGTTGGTGGTTCAAACTCATCCTTTGGTGTCATGGAAGAAAGTCTGGCCTGCTGCTTTCATAAGGATTACAGCCAAGAAAACCTCTTAGAACAGTTAGACACTGGAACACTGAAGCTACTGTGAGTTTGAATCAATTCGACATCAGTAGGCATTTTTAAAAATTTTTATTAAATGAGTGCAGGAATTGTTTGTGCTACTAAATACATAATATTTTTATAATGGAAAAATGGCAAAGTTTTTATGAAATATGACAGAGAGCACTGTAACTGCAGGCATTTATTATTATCAAAACAAAGACCTAAAAGGTGTTTTTAAAATGCAAAGGATGCGCTGATCATTAATTATTACAGGTCGTAACTTACTACTCTCTTGAACTCATTCATAAAAATTCTTTACTTTATTTCATGGCAGGTTATAAGGTTTCCCAAATACTTCCTTTTATGAGACTATAATTACCTTTCTATTTCCATAATGACAGTGAATTGCTGCTCTATTTTTCTTGGGTAATTCTTTTTCATATACACAAGTATGACTACTATCTTTCTGCCTATACTAGGATTCATAAAGCAATTATTTTCTCTATTTTCCACAGGATTTGTGGTTCTGTGGGTTGATGTGCTGAACTGCAAAGTAGGTTTGAACCACAAGGTCAGTGGTTCAAGCTCACCAGCCGCTCCTTGGAAACTTTATACAGGGTTGCTATGGGTTGAAACTGACTTGATGACACTTAACAATAAGAACATTTCCCTAATATTTAGCCACTTTAAAAAGTTCTTAATTCACACCAAATTTTCATGTCTGTTCTATAAATATCATTAAGGTAGACCTAAACCTTAGTTAGACAACACAGTGCTTTCGCCTCTACTTGCCTTTGGCTAACTTACTTTCAAAGTGATATTTGGGTATGTCATCTTAGATGTGTCCAAGGAAAATTGAGCAGTGCCATGTACATCTGTAGTATAGTTGCCCACAATTTTGTCCTTTAGGTGCAAGTGGACGACTTCATTGGAGATGGGAGTCTTGTCTGGACGAAGCAATTTAATCTGTATAAGTAGAAGAAAACAAGTGACTGAAGCATTTAGTGAATTTGGGAGTCAACTTTGAGGGTACATGTCAAGATTCTGTCACTGGTACAACTCGTTCCTTGCTGTGCCTGCATTTCCTTAGTAGTTTCATCTACTGCTTTTGGGTACATGAAAGATTCAATCAACATATTGATGCTCCTACACCCTATTTCTCCTACTTTTTTGAAAATAACTTTTTTGAAAGTCAAACTCATATATTTCACTGTATTCTGAGTATTTTTATTGTGAAAATATTACCCAAGTCCCACTGCTATGGAGTAAATTCCAGCTCATAGCAACCCTATGTAAGGTTTCTAAGGCTGCAAATATTTACAGGAGGAGAAAACCTCCTCTTTCTCTTGCAGAGTTGTTGGTGGATGCAAAATGCTGGCTTTATAGTTAGTAGTCCAACATATAACCAACTACGCCAACAGAGCTCCTAAAAATACTACAGAAACCCACAAATTTGAATTATTGATTAGTCTGTGCTATCTTCTCGTTCTTAATTTATCTCAGGGCCCAACCATTCATTTACCCACCCAAATCAATTATCTGGGGACAGTCTGAATTTTTTTCACCCACAATTTCAATTGTTGATAAAATACATCTTAATTTTATCTTCTTAACATTATGTTTCCAATTGATTATATTGATTCTTATTGTTGTTGTCTCCTAGTGTGGCACTGTAAGATAAGTACTGGACTGTGAACCACAAGGTCTGTGGTTCAAACCCACCAGTTGCTCCTCAGAAACCCTATTCAGGGTTGTTATGATTTGGAATTGATGACATTTAACAACCACAACATTGTCCTGGTGTGGCACTGTGGGTTAATGTTCTGGACTGCAAAGTCATTTTGAACCACAAAGTCGGTGGTTCAAGCTCACCAGCCACTCCTCAGAAACCCTGTACAGGATTGCTATGGGTCGGAATCAACTCAACGGCACTTGACAACAACAACAATAACATTATTATTGCCTTATGTTAACTTCTCATCATATTTTTTGCCTGATATATGTTAATAATCTCCTACCCAATCTCTCCCCTGTATTGTTATTGGCTGTATATATATACATATATATACATGCACATACACATATATATCCAGGGTCACTATGGGTTGGAATCGATGGTTCTTAATAACAGCAACAATACACACACACACACACACATATATATATGTATACAGACAGATAAATAAGTATGTAGATAGATATACAATGGAATATGTATATTTAGCCATAAAGAAAAAAAAAGTTCTTATACATGCCACCACAAGATGAACTTTGAAAATATTATACTTAGTGAAAGACGCCAGACACAAAAGAACAATTACATGATTTCATTTATATGAAATTTCTAGAGTAGAAAAATTCATCAAGACAAAGGAAGATTAGTGTTGACAGGGGCTGGGGAGAGGATAGAATGGGGTGTTAGATGGTGAAAAAGACAAAACAAACAAGCAATCCCTTGTATCTCCCTGGCTATATGAAAGCGGGTTTCTGTCAGGTCATGCATGTAACTGTAGTTTTTCTGACCTCTGATGTAATGTCACTAAATGGTCAGTATTTTTCTGACATGGTACCTTTAGCATCTATAATTAAATCATTATTTGTGAAAATATTTGCTTAATGCCTATTTTCTCTGTCAGATTTATCTATTCCGTGAAGGCAGGGATAGTGCCTGCTAGTTTACCATTATATCCCAACACTTACAGTGACTATATCATTTACTGTACAAACTTAGACATTTGAGACTGAAAAGATACACTATTAACAATTACACCTTGACAAAAGAAATAATCTCAAACAAAGTTGTGAAAATTGAAAATCTATGGTATGGATTACCCTGCAATGCTTAAAAGAGTGACTTTCACACAGGAACTTGTAGGAAATAGCTGTTGGGCTGAATTAATTAACAAGCAAAGGTGAATGAATGAATGCGCATGTAAAGAAATTATGGCTTCTCTTACCTGGCCAACATATGGGATTCCCTGTTTGTAGACTGTATCCATATTCTCAAATTGAATCCTCACCATTGCTGAATCTATGTTTATGTATTTGGAGTCTGTAAGCTGCACACCTGTAGACAAATAAGTATTATCAGGAAATTATTACCAAATACACAAACAGAGTATAGAAAAAAAACCACAGAAGCCAGCATTCTTCCCCAAAGTATCCTTTCCTAAGCAGCTTTAGTATGTAGTGACTTCTTAAGAAGTGTTTTATAAAAGAAAAGTAGCAGGGATGGAAAGAACCCCAAAAGTTATCATTTTCAATGAGAGTAACTGCTCTTCATCACCTTGATAATGATCTAATCCATTTACCGTTACTTCTTGAAGAATTAGTTAGTTCACTGGTTTCTCATTATACTCAAGTGATTGCTTATTGACATTACTTTGCTCTCTTCCTGGTTAAAACATATACTTTAATCTATTAATAGTATGAATTATAATCTATGTACATTTCTCAAAATTGAAAAGCTCAAAAAAGAAAATATAAATTATGAAACATCAGATATCCCAAAGATACCAAAAATGAACATTTTATATTACTATCTATCATTTTTAACCTATATGTTCAAATAAATACTGTTGGGATTATAAGCATGCTGTTGTTGATATGAAACATCAGATATCCCAAAGATACCAAAAATGAACATTTTATATTACTATCTATCATTTTTAACCTATGTATTCAAATAAATACTATTGGGATTATAAGCATGTGGAGTCGGTTCCGACTCATAGCGACGCTGTACAGGGTTTCTGAGGCTGTATATCTTTATGGGAGCAGAAAGCCTCATCTTTCTCCCGTGGGACTGCTGGTAGTTTTGAACTGCTGACCTTGCGGTTCATAGCCCGACTTGTAACCACTACGCTACCAGAGCTCTATCAACCAATAAATTTGTATTCTGACTTTTGGTTTTGTTTCATTTGAATTTATTATTTAAACAGATTTTATTGTTGCCAAAATATAAATCAGAAAAAACTTCCAATTCAACATTTTTCACAAGTGTGGTTATCTTTTATTGTCCATCAAATAAAATTTTGGTTGGAGTAAGAAACATCCTATTTTTGGATCTGAGGAGCTGATGACAAATGCTGGAAAACAGTGACTATATTTAATATCAGATAGCTGAACCAGCTAGTAATTCAAACTGAACAGCAATATCCTTTGGAGGCTGACTGCTTTGAGATCATTACCTGTCCCATGTTCTGTGACACGAACGTGTACTTCAAGATAACTCCTGTATCCTTCCCGATATAACTCAAAAGCATTTGTGCTAACTAAATTGGAGACACAGCCAGTCTTCTCTAACTGAAAGGTTAAAAAAAAAAAAAAAAAGGTTATGTTTCAAAAATACTAAAAGAAATAGACGTTTTACAAAAATGGTGCAACCTCTGGAGAGCAACTTTAAAAGTGATATCTTACCCAAATTTGAATTTTATAAAAGAATCTACTGTGATTCTATAATTTGAATGTTCTGTTTATGTATTTACCTATAACTTCACTACAATTTTTAGCAGGCATTAACTGTTTCAATGCTGACTTAAAAAGATCATTCTTTGTGGTACCTATTTTGTTAATCCATAAAATAATGAGCAATTCTATCCCTAGTCACATTTACTCACAATAATATTTGCAATTTTGTTAATTCCAACTATATTCTTGTTCTGTTTAGATACTGAATTTTAGTTAACATGTTTTGAAAATGTGTATTTATGGTTATGATGCTCTGGATATTTGTAGAACTAGATTTTACATAGAGTTACAGGCATACTTTAGAGTGAAAAAGCAGGATTTGAATCATGACTGCTACTTATTGCTTCAAGTGAAATGGAGATATTGGTAAAATTCGTAGAGACTTTAGTATAAGATTAGATAATGACTTGTTGTTGTTGTTGTTAAGTGCCATCGAGTCGGTTCCGACCCATAGCGACCCTGTACAGGGTTTCCGAGGGTGTAAATCTTTACGGGAGTAGAAAGCCTCATCTTTCTCCCGCGGAGCGGCTGGTAGTTTCGAACCGCTGACCTTAAGGTTCGCAGCCCGATTCGTAGCCACTATGCTACCAGAGCTCCTAAGATAATGACTAGACAGTGTTAAACACAGCGTGTTACTTACTAAACAATAAGTTGTCGTTGCTGTTGTTAAAGTGCCGTAAATGCGGTTACGACTCATGGTGACCCTGTATAGGGTTTCTGAGGACTCCTGGTATGGTGCTGTAGGATCTACAAAAGGTAGGCAGTTCAAACCCACCAGCTGCTCCTTGAAAACCCTATACAGGGTCACTATGAGTTGGAACAGACTCTACGCTACTTAACAACAACACAGGGTTTCAAGGCTGTAAATCTTTGCAGAAGCAGAGAGCCTCATCTTTTCCCACAGAGAGACTGGTGGGCTCAAACTGCTGAGCTTGTGGTTTCCAGTCCAATGCTTATCCTCTAGAGCAGGGGTGGGGAATGTCCAGCCTGTGGGCCATATAGTTGTTGCTAAGTCCTATCAAGCCGGGTCTGACCCATAGCGACCCTGTATAGGGTTTCCAAGGACTGCAAATTCATTTGGTCTGGCCCGGCTGAGGCAACCACAGTTTCAGCCATCACATTAGGGGTGAGTTAGCTAAATGTTTGTCTAAATATAGCAGACTAATTTTTAATTTGATAATTTTGTATGGCTGTGAATGATGTTATAAATTTTGGCAGAAAAAAGGTTCCCCACCCTTGCTCTTGAGGTACTCCGTTCCCATTTAAGAAGTAGTAGTTATATTATTTCATAGGCATGTGAAAGTTGGACAGTGAATAAGAAAGACCATAGAAGAATTGATGCTTTTGAGTTATAGTGTTGGAGGAGAATATTGAAAGTGCCATGGGCTGCCAAAAGAACCCATAGATCTGTGTTGGAAGAAGTGCAGCCAGAGTGCTCCTCGGAGGCCAGGATGGCCAAACTTGGTCTCTCATACTTTGGACAAATTGTCAGGAGGGACCAGTCACTGGAGAAGGATATTATGTTTGGTAAGATGGTGGGTCAGAGAAAAAGAGTAAGACCCTTTTTGGATTGGCAGAATGGCAGCATGGACTGGCAGAGTGGCAGCATCAATGGGCTCAAGTATGGCAACTTGAGTGAGGTTGGCCCAGGACTGGGCAGTGTTTCATTCTGTTGTGCACAGGGTCACTATGAGCCGGTACCAACTTTATGGCACCTAACAACAACAACAACAACTAGTTATATTATGGAGTCTTGGTATGACTGGTTGGATAAGCACTAGACTGCTAATTGCAAGTCTGGTGGTTCCAACCCACTAACAGCTCCTTGGAAACTATACACAAGGTCACTATGAATTGGTACCAACTCAATGGCACTTAATAATAGGTATTATTATTATTAATTTATTTCTCTTAACGTCGGTTTGATCAAGTTAATATCATGTACTAAGTAAAAAATTTTAAACAGCATCATTAATAAGCAAGTTTAATAGAGAGAACTGGTAAATATGACAAAGGGATCTAGTATAGCCATGTTCATAGATTCATAGACTACTGTATTGTGGAAAAACTGAGGTCTTGTTCATCTCCTTTATTTTGTGATGAGATGCAGAAATCGAGACCTAAGGATATTAGTTAACATAAAGGTCATATGGCCCCTTCAGAATATATATGAAACTACCACCATAGTCACGAGATGGATTGGCAGAGTGGCATCAATGGGCTCAATTGTGATGATAGTGAGGTTGGCCCAGGATCGGGCAGTGTTTTGTTTTGCTGTGCATAAGGTCGCTATGAGTTGGTACCAACTTAATGGCACCTAACAACAACAACAGCAACCATAATCACTAGCTTAAGACAAATTCTCACTAGATTTGAAGATGAATTATTGTTTATAGTCTATAATCCTGCTATATATGCCAATGTATACTATAAATAGACAGATCTCTCAAATCACCTGAAAAGCATCTATATTTTTCATAACCTTCTTTAATAATTCCTTACAGTTTCTAACTACCTGTATTCTTAGTTTATAATTTTGTCTCTAGAGTGTTTATATCTCAAAGATAATGAATTTTTCATAAAGTGCAATCTCCATGAGGACAGAGGCCAAATCTGTCTTGTTCATGATCAACACTGTAATGCCTAAAAACAACGTTTGCATATTGAAAGACCTCAGTATTTGTATCCCTTGAAATGCCTAATGATATAATTTTTTGAGATATTTAAATATATGATCTTGAATAAAATACTTAGATTCTACCTGTTCTAATCCACTAACCCACTAATCCATAAAGTAGTGATAATAATAGTATGTAAACCATAGGGTTTCATTGAGAGTTAATTGTACATAAATTATTTAGCCCAGTTCCTGATACCTAATGTTGTTGTTGTTGTTTAGTGCTGTTGTGTCGGTTACAACTCATAGTGACCCTGTGTAGAGTTTCCAAGGAGAAAGTAAGCTTCCATTAAAAGCTAGCTATCACTATCCTGGTGTGGCCTTGAGGATAAACACTGGACAGCTAACTGAAAGGTCAGGAGTTCAAACCCAACTGCCACTCCTTGGCAACCCTATAGAGGAACCAACCCGATGGCACTTAATAACAATGACAACAACAGTGTTATCCTAGAATCCCTGGGTGGTGCAAATGATTAATGTGCATGACTCTCTTACCTGAAAAATTACCAGCTCAGAGTCACCTGAGTCCACCCAGAGACATCTCAGAAAAAAGATCAGATAATCTACTTCGAAGATATTACCCATTGAACACTTTACGGAGCACAGTTCTACAGATATATTTATAATGTATATTATAACTTTACATATCTCTCAAATCACCTGAAAATCATCTATATTTTATAACCCTCTTTGATAATTCATTCCAGATCTAACTACCTATGTTCTTGGCATATATTGATTTATTTTGGACTCGGTGACTAGTTATTACTATCATGATGACTATAAAAAGTAAATTTATTACTAATTGTGAGTATGTGTTTATAAATGGTATTGCACTCTTTGTAATATGACAGGTGACATGAGTGTGAGGGAGTCCTTGTTACATTCTTGCCCAGCCTTTTCTGTGTCCACTTTCTGATGCTGCTTCTCAAGTCTTCCCAGTGAATCCTTTCAAGAAATTCCTCCCTTTCAAGAAATTCCTCTCTGCTCTAAGTTCGAAAAAGTTGATTTCACATGTTAGGAGTTAAGAACCCTGGCTATGTATGTCCTACCTGAAAATCTATTAATGTTTATTTTCAGTGGAAGCAGACTGAGAGAAAAATAACTTAATCATTTAATAGTCTTGAATGTATACGGACATCTTCGTATCTCCCTGACTTAAATTCACAAAGCACATGGAAAAAAGAAGACATATACTTACTTCTACTTTGATAATATATAGCTTCCAATCTGGAATTAAATCCATTTTTAGTTAAGAACTGAATTTACAACTGAGCTTTGTTGTTGTTAAGTGCTGTTGAGTCAGTTCTGACCTATAGTGACCCTGTATAGGGTTTCTGAGGAGCGGCTGGTGAGCTTGAACTGCCAACCTTGCAGTTCAAACAGCTTTGCAGTCTGGCGTATGAGCTTTAGATTACTATAATTTTCTTTTTGGCAATTAATGGGAAATAAAAAAAAATAGCACAACAAAAGAAAATTAGCAATTTTAAAAATGGAATCAGGGATATAAAGAAAAGTATGTTTGTAGTATAAAGAGGGAAACAAGAAAGAAAAGTGTATGAAAGATGAGAACAATTGATTAATGTAAATTCACATATGAGTTTTCAGGTACACATCTTACCTGAGTAGTAAAATTTACACAGAGTGATTGGAGAGGAAATTTGCAAGAACCATAAATATAAGGAGGCGCCCTGCATACTTGTAGTTGAACTTTCCCCTCTACAGCTTTGCCGTAGGTATACCTAATAGAAGAAAATGACAATAGAAAAATATTAAAGGTCAACCTCATTAGTAATTTACCTAGACAGTTTATAAAGTTTTCTTTAGTAACTGAAGTCACACTGCAACTACATTTAAATAGCCAATCACTTTCCATGTAATTTTCTAAGGAAATCTAAAACAATGGACTGACTTAAATTGAGGTGAATTCATGAAGTAAAGAGATTTTCATTAAAATGGTTGAATAAATAACATTTACATACCATATATTTGTGTCACTAACAAACAGTAACAAATTAAACTTAATAAAAAAAGAGAGTACTCACTAAGTGTTTAATTTATTAGAATAATATTTATTTTGCTTCTTTTAGCTTTTCTATGGTTTCAAGTGGTGTGCCTGACCCAAGCCATGGTATTTTTAATTGCTTCATATGCATGTGAAAGTTGAATAGTGAATAAGGAAGACTGGAGAAGAGCTGATGCATTTGAATCATGGTGTTGGCAAAGAATATTGAGAGTATCATGGATGGCCAGAAGAAACAAATATGTCTTGGAAGAAGTACAGCCAGAATGTTCCTTAGAAGTGAGGATGGTGAACCTTCATCTCTCATACTTTGGTCAGGGAGCACCTGTCCCTGAAGAAGAACATCATGCTTGGTAAAGTGGAGGGTCAGCAAAAAAGAGGAAGACCCTTAGTGAGATGGACTGACACAGTGGACTCAACCGTTAACAGTTGTGAAGAGGGTGCAGGATTATTTCTCTTGTGCATAAATAGAGTTGCTATAAGTTGGAACCAAGTTACTGGCATCTAACAACAATAACATAATAAGCTTAAGTAAATTTTTATCACGTGGTCTTAAACTATCACCTAAAATCATATGCTAAACAGCTTAATTAAAAGCAGTTTAAACTTACAAGGCACAGACTTTAACTCTGAATTCTGGGTCCACAACTAAAACATTTTCGGGAGCATCCACCGTCATTTGAAATTTGGGTAATACTGTCAGTAAAACGATTTAAAAAAAATTATTAACATAAATGCACTCATATAAAGTAACTATTTTCCTTTAGCAAACCAGATATTTTTGCTTATATTTGCTGTTAATAAATAGTGTTAGGAGTACACCACAGTGCATAAAAACTAAATTTTGGTATTGAACAGAAGAATACAGATTTGAATTCTAAGTTTATAACTTCCAAGGTGTTTGTTTTGAGACAGGTCTCAGTAATATCTGTAGACTGGAAATAATGATGCCACAGTATAATTTCTATGAGTATTTTCAGGTGATATAAATGGAGTACCTCCTCACATAAATAATATTGATTTCATTACTTTTATTAAAAATGTTTTGAAGTGTAAATGTGGCATACATAGACAATTAACGCCTGGGAAGCTGTCATAGAAACTGGATTCCATATGTCACAAAAGAAAAGCATAAATCTTAGATTATACATTTTAGTTAATCTTAGATTAACAAAGAATTGCGTGAGGGTTATGGGTTGAAGGAGGGGATAACAATCAGAGTGGGTGGAGAATCTTGAAACAATATCAGAGGTAAGGAAAGAGGCAAGGAAGAGATACTCAATGTATAATTGTACCTGTGCAAAACTGCAGAAATTTGATTGTTTTTCTTATCATTATTAGACAATATATCTTTATAGCTATTATTTACCATATTCTTCCACAGAGAAGGTTTGATATGCTTTCTCTCCAGATGGGGTCTCCACAGTGACAGAATACCAACCAAGGATAGGCTCAGATGTTAACTGGAAGGAGAGTTGCACGAGACCTACAAAAGACTCCTCATTGTCCCACTGTTGTATTCGGTTGCCATGCGGATCCTGAAGATGAAGAAAGTGTATTTTGTTGCATGCTGGATATTTTTCATCTATCTGAAAATTTCCTCAAGGATTTCCCAGTTGCTGAGATTCTAATTTATTGAATCAAAACATGGGGTATCCTCTCTCTGCAAAATTGTGTTTTTTTCCCCCAGCTGGTCCCAAAGCTACATGTAGCACTTACTTTATTTTTCAGAAGTCATTTTTAACAAGAGTATTTTTTGTACTAGTGTCTCATTTCTTAAGGGTGAGCCATATTGTATCTCAGGTTCATGAAACAGTAACATCTATATACATTCAATAATCAAAACTTAAATTGAATGAAATTGTACTTGTTTAATTGTCGGTATTATGAACAGAATGACATTTCTGTGAATCGTACGAAAAAAAAAATCCAACAATGATTTCTATCCTCTTGGAGATGACTACATAAAATAAATAACATTGTAACAATATAAATAGACAATTGTCCTCTGTAAATTGTATTCTGTTTTTGAGGTTCAGGAGATATCAATAAAAAGAGAGAGAGAGCGAGAGAAAACAATCCTTCAATGAGGAGGTATCTTACCTGAAGAGCAATCACTGGATACTGAAAGAAAAAGAAGAGTCATGTTAATCTAAGAACTCAAGGTTTTGTTTTGTTGAGTGAAGAGCTTAGTTCTAAGTTTATTGTTGAAAAGAGAAGCATAGGAGATAATTTAAGACCATTCAAACAAATACCAATTCTGACTGAAGGTCTGAATACCTGTTTTTTATATTGAAAAATTTCAGCCTAGTTTTCAAGAACTTTCATTTACTTCTTTCTATTTCTCAACACACAGTTTGTCATCTCAGTAAACAAGTCTCAGTTTGGTCCCTGAAATACTCCTGGTTCAATCCTGGTTCTGGGTCTTTGCCTAAGTTGTTTCCCTTCCCTTAGAATGCCTTCCTTTTTATCCTCTAATTGCTCCAGTCAACAACATCAACCATTCTTCCAGATACTCCTGGTGTGGTGCTGTGGGCTTATGTGCCAGACTGCAAAGCCGTTTGAACTGCAGGGTTGGTGGTTCAAGCTCACCAGCTGCTCCTTGGAAACCCTGTACAAGGTCACTATGGGTCGGAATCGACTCGATGGCACTTAACAACAACAACCCTTCTTCCAGGTGTGTTTTTTTAAATCACATTCAAGCCCTTTCCTTTTTGATTCATGATTTTCACTGCCCTCCTGTAGCATTTGTGGTCCGGAAACCCTATACAAGATCCTTATGAGTTGGGGCTGACTCGACAGCACTTAACAACAACAACAACTTGTTGAAGAAGAATTATATTTTACCTTCTTGATTTGTTGTTGTTTTTGCCTACCCAAGAAAGTTTTAAGTATACTGAGGCCAGGGTTTAAATAGCAGACATGTTCCCTCAAATCAACTAGCATGCATGGGCAAGAGCTCAAAAACCACTTTAATTTAAACATTTTGATTTAAAGTTGCTTTGAAAATATAGTCACTACTTACATAGTTAATGCAAGGTAACTATGTAAGCAAAGAAAATGAAACAAAAACCTTCAGATCAATGAAAACTGTAGGCTAAAGCATGAACTAATCAGTTTCTAGACATGTCAAAGAAGTACATTTGGGAATCTAGGTAAATCTAGATCTATTGCTGGTGGAAGACACTTAATCATCTTCCCAGGAGGGTGTTCATTTACAGGCAGGCATGGGATACAAGGCAGTAGAATGAGAAATAATCAGCTCAAGTCTCATATGAACTGGCTGAATAGAATTTTTAAAGTGGCACCCTGGCCTCCTTGGCCCATTCCTTAAGCTTCTAAGTGTTCCTTCCCACTAATTGCAACATTCATTCACTGAGCAAATACCCACATACAGAGATGGGATCAGTCTGTAACTAAATCTTGCATATTCTGATAACAAATAATAAAATACCATCTTTACATTCCCTTTTTGTAGTTTGGTTCATATTATAGCTCTCTGATCATATCCAGGGCCTCTGAAAGTAAAGATGGTTTCAGATCTCGGGATAAATTAAAGAGAAGATCTAAAACTTCTTAAAAGAGTTCATCCAAATGACACTCTGGAAAAAACAATGATTGAATATGCTATAAAACACTAACTAAAGTCAGAAGGAAGAGAGAGAAATTATACAACCAGGAAGGAAAGAAAAGATGAAAGATTTTGGCAGATTAAAGTAGGTATACAATTTATCTGTTGGCCCATTTGATATAAAGAATTGCAACACTAGTATGTTTAGTATGTGTATTGAAATGTATTTTGAATCCCCAGATCTCACGGAAGTGAGTCATTGTTTTAGGTGTTATACTGAAATAGCTGCAGACTTTCATTATGCTGCTCTTGAAATACATAACTGTAATCTTGTAGCTGTCATCATTTAAAACACACTATCTCATTTTGATTTTTGTACATAAGCAGATGCAGTTTTCAGTGCTAAAGGAACTCTTTCCCAGAAACATTTGGTACAAATGATCATCTTATCTGTGACCCACATTTGAAGGACTGTTTCATCAATCCTGTTATCATATTCAAAATCAATCATTAATAAAGCTGAGAATTGGATCATCATATCTAGCTTTATTGACAATAAAAAGAATTAGCAATAGGGGAAAAAACAAACGAGGGAACTAGGATGACATATGTTGTTGTTGTTAAATGCCATAGAGTCAGTTCTGATCCATAGCGACCCTGTATAGGGCTTCTAAAGAGCAGTTGGGAGCTTGAACCACTGACCTTGCAGTTCAAACCGACTTCACAGTGCAGCGCATTATTTACAGTGCCACACCAGGATTCCATTTGATGACACTCAGCCCTTTTGCAGCCCTGTAATTTTCAAGAAGCCTTGCACTTTCCCATGGTTCTACTAACCAAAGATGACTGACAAAGAGTTACGTTAGCAATGCTAGCTGCTTTGATTAAATGAGATAATGCAACCTTGAACCTAAAGGAAGTACATGCTAGCCTAAAGAAGTTATTTCAAATTTAGGTTGCTTAAAGGATCTTTTGGAACTAAGGTTTGCTTTGTTCTGGAAATTACAATTAAGCAATAATCTAATAAATGTAGTGTAGCTAGAGAAAATGACACCAGGAGATGGATTCGAAGTGGTGAAGCCTTGAATATGGAATGGTAAGGGATGACATGAAGGATGAAAAGAGTAGTCACATACAGAGATATCAGCAGCACAATTTCTATAAGTCTCACAAGCTTCTACACAAATCTATGCTCCACTAACAAATTAATATAGATGACCACATAGAAAGTTTGTTTTAACATGTTTGATTCTGAAATACATGAAATAAAATATGCTGAGTATCCTATTATAGAATTTAGTCACTCAGTCAAGATTTACTGTCTTGTCCATATTCATGAGTCTCTCCCTCATTTTCAGATTCCTTATAGAGGATCTTTATCCTTCTGTTGAAACAGTGTCTTAGACTACTGTCACCATAGTCTTCCTAAATCTATAATCCCTGAACTGCAAGTCATTGTCCATGAAACAATGTCTCTGTATTTCTCCATGGTAAGGTCACTTTCTCTAATGGGTAGCAGCATTCCCCATTGTTAATATCCTGCTATCAATAATGGACAATTTCTGAATAAATTGTAAGAGACCATGAAACATATCCCCTATCACTTTATTGCATGTCTCTAAACACAAACTGTTCATTCATGACTGTTGTTATTGTCGCTAAGTGATGCTGAGTCAGATGACTCATAATGACCCTGTATAGGCTTTCCAAGGAGCGGCTGATGAGTTTGAACAACCAACCTTGTGTTTCAAACTGACCTTTCAGTGCTTCATCCCACAGACCACACCAGATTCCAGTTCATGACTGACTGTAATTTAATTGTCTTCACAACATGGCAGCAACCCTTCTTTCCAGTTTGATTTGCTACAATTCCCTATGTTGATAAGATAGTTCTGGGTTGTTGTTAAGTGCCATCAAGTCTGTTCCAACTCATAGCAACCCTGTAGAGAGTTTCTGAGGAGCAGCTGGTGAGTTTGAGCTGCCAACCTTGTGGTTTAAACCAACCTTGCAGTCCAGTACTTATCCTATAGTGCCATACCAGGACTTCTGGTTTATTGTTATTATCAAGTCTTCTTGATGCCACACTACCTTTTTTTCACTAAAATTTCCCCTTGGCTTATACAGTAAAACCAGAATTTATGTAAGGTCAGAGATGGAAAATTCAAATATTTTCCACTAAAACCAGTCTATCAAAGACAAAAAGCTTCTGAGATCCAGGAAAACAAAGGTAGTCCTGTTGAGTTCCATCTGTAACAAATTTCACTTGTAATACTATCTTATCCCTAACTTCAGGATTTCTGAACTACTAGCCAAAAGGTTTTTGGTTCAAACCTACCCAAAGGCACCTTGGAATACAGATTAGGCTCTCTGCTTCTTGAAAAGCCTATAGAGCGGTTTTTCTTTGCACATATGGGTCACATCCTTGAAAAGCCTATAGAGCGGTTTTTCTTTGCACATATGGGTCAGTTATAATGCTTTAATTCATTCTATGATATTAAGACCCTATAAGATGCCAAATGCTATTCTTTTAAAAGCTGAGGCTACAGTGATAAATTTTACTTAGGTGTTTCTAAAGTGACTTTTAATATGGTCATTTATGTACTTCTCTATTCTAATGTACGAAGTCCTGGTGTGGCACTGTGGGCTAATGCTCTGGACTGCTAGGTTGGTTTGAACTGTAAGGTCAGTGGTGCAAGCTCACCAGCTGCTCAATGGAAACCCTATATAGGATTGCTATGGGTCAGAATCAACTTGATGGCATTTAACAATAACAACAACATTCTAATATAATATTGTGTAATGGGTATTGTATAAATTTACAGGTTGTTGTTGTTAAGTACCGTGGAGTTGGTTCTGACTCATAGTGACCCTGCACAGGGTTTCCAAGACTGCAAATCTTTACAGGAGCAGAAAGCCTCATCTTTCTCCCACGAAACAGCTGGTAGTTTTGAACTGCTGACCTTGAGGTTAGCAACCCGATTTGTAACCACTACACTACCAGAGCTCCTTTAAATTTACAGGTATTGGAGGTTGAATACATTGCAGATCTTAATGTAATTAGGAAGTAGATTTAAGTTTGTTGAGTAAAGATCGAGAAAGCGGAAGAAGGAGAAAAGAAAGAGAAAGGGTTTATAAAGCCATTAGGAATACAGAACCAGTAACTTGCCCCATTTTCACTTACAAATTTTAAAAGCCTTCCAAAAATGCATAAGTAGCTAGACATACATACATATTTTCAGTTACAACTTACCATTTGCTTAACAGGCTTTAAAAGATTATTCAGAGCCACGATTCGAAATCTCACTGGAGAAGGAAATAAAGATGATGTAAATAGAATGTTTATCTTTTGTGTCATCACAGTCTTCATACTGAATTGGTTATCTTCAATAAATCAGAAAGGGTTGAAATATTTTGCCGTGTGATGAGTAGTTACGTAAGACTCTTTTAAACAGATTTGTATCTTTTAGAGAAGTTTTAGGTTTCAGAAAATACCTTCCTCCCCACTACACAAGGTTTCTCCTGTGGTCATTTGTTATATAAAATAAACTATAATATTGGTAATTCACATTAGAGTTCACTCTTTGTACAGTCCTGAGTTTTGACAAATGCATGTCATGTGCCCATCATTAATTATACAGAATAGTCTCACTGTCTTAAAAATGCCCTGTGATTTATCTATTCATCCTTCCTTACCTCCCCTGAACTCATGGTAACCACTGATATTCAATGTCTGCATAATTTTGCCTTTTCCAGAATGTAATGTGTTGCTGTTGTTGTTAGGTGACGTCATGTCGGTTCTAACTCATAGAGACTCTATGTACAACAGCAGAACTGCCCAGTGCTGTGCCATCCTCATAACTGTTGGCATGTTGGAGCCCATTGTTGCTGCCAGCGTGTTAGTCCATCATGTTGGGCCTTCCTCTTTTTCGCTGACCTTACACTTTATCAAGCATGTCTTTCTCTAGGGACTGGTTCCTGCTGACAACTTGTCCAGAATACAAGAGATGAACTTTTGCCATCCTTGCTTCTAAAGAGCATTCTGGTTATACTTCTTCTAAGACAGATTTGTTTGTTTTTCTGATAATACCATATTCTTTGCCAAATACCATAATTCAATACGCTTTTCCAATACCGTATTTAATGAATCAATTCTTTTCTGGTCTTCCTTATTCATTGTTCAACTTTCACATGCATGTTGTTGTTGATAAGTGTCAAGGTGGTTCTAACTCACAGTGCCCATGTATAGGGTTTCCAAGGAGTGGTTTTTGGAATCAAACCATCAACCTTGTGGTTAGTAGTACAGCATTTATCCTACAGTGCCCCACCAAGATATCACATGCTTACTGTCTTGGGTCAGGCGCACCTTAGTCCTCAAACTGCCATCTCTGCTTTTTAACACTTTAAAGCGGTATTTTGCAGCAGATTTGACCAATGCAATACAGTGTTTGGCTTATTGGCTGCTGCTTCCATGAGCATTGGTTGTGAATCTGAGTAACATGAAATCCTTGACATCTTCAATCTTGTCTCCATTTATCATGATTTGTTTATTGGTTCAGTTGTGAGGATTTTTGGTTTCTGTACATTTGAGTTATAATTCATACTGAAGACTATACTCTTTAATGTTCATCAGCAAGTACTTTAAGTTCTTTTCCTTTTTAGCAAGCAAGGTTGTGTCATATGCACATTGCAGGTTCTTAATGAGCCTTCTTTCACTCCTGATGCCCTGTTATTCATATAGTTCAGTGTGTCAGATCATTTGCTCTGCATACAGATTGAATAAGTATGACAAAACACTTTTCCTGATTCTAAACCATTCATTATTCCCTTGTTTATATTCAAACAATTGTCTCTTGTCTACATACAGGTTCCTCATGAGCATAATCAAGTATTTTAGAATTCCTATTCTCTGGTAGCATAGTGGTTACAAATCGGACTACAAACCATAAGGTCAATAGTTTGAAACTACCAGCTGTTCCATGGGAGAAAGATGAGGCTTTCTGCTCCTGTAAAGATTTACAGCCTTGGAAACCCTGTACAAGGTCGCTATGAGTCAGAACAGACTCCAAGACACATAATCATCACTAACCATTCTTCACAATGTTATCTACAGTTTGTTATGATTCAACATAGTTGAATGCCTTTGCAGAATCAATAAATACAGGTCAACATCTTTCTGGTATTCTTTACTTTTAGCCAAGATCCATCTAATGTTAGCAGTGATAGCCCTCATTCTACATCCTGTGTGAATGAATGAGGCTTGAATTTCTGGCAGCCTGCCTTCGATGTACTGCTATACCATTTTAAAATGATCTTCAGAAATGCTTTACTTGCATATGGTGTTGATATTGTTTTATAATTTTGAGTTATCTTTCTTTACGAGGCCCAGTAAGTCTTACATAATCAGTTGTGTCCACATGTATATATATATCCTTTCAGTCTCTCTCATCTATCACCTACTATTCTTTCCCTCATACCTCAAGTAATACTCTTGCCGTTCCTCTAACTTGTCAAGACTTGTCTTAGGGCATTTACACAGGATATTTTTCTTGCCCACAATGATTTTTGCCAGTCATGTTTCCCATCTTCATTTCAATCAAGTCTCTGCTCAAATGTCTTCTTTATTTCTTTAATGCTTTCATTAATTCTTAATACAATTGGGACACATTTTGCTGAAGGCATTGTGTATTAAGTACACAGTTACCTTACCCCTATTTACTCAGAATGATCCACCATATAACCTCAATGACACTTTTCATTAGTACCTGAAGAATTAGTCATTTTCTTCTCTGTCTTTCTAAGACATGGAGCCTAGGGGACCTCTTTGGAAAGAGTTATTAAGAAAGTAAAGACTTTGTCTTGAAGACAGGGAGTTTCTTTGGTTCTTTACTGTATGCCCAATGCCTGGCTCAGCACCTGAGAATTATATAGTAGACACTCAGTCAATTTCATTGAGGGGATTCTCAGCAATGAAATATTTCTAAGAATTGTAGCCCCATGGT